GGTTTGTAAACATTTCCAGCAGTTGACGGCTGCAGCAGCAAAATAGAGCAGTAATAGTAGTTGTAGTAGTAGCAGTGGTAGGAAGGAACAAGGTGTATGAACTCAAAACAGCAAGCAACTCATCGAATTAAACAGAAATCTCTCTCTCTTTTTTTTTCCAGAACATCCAGAAAGCAAGCCTGCTTCGAAACTTACGGGAGCACGTGATATGCAAAACAAGTTCCTTTTCAAAAATGGCCTATACACCGGTCTGGCAACAGCACCTTGTTTCTCTGGAAGCGACATGTAGCGATACATTCGAATGGCCTCTAAAAAAAAAATATCCTGCTAGTTATATTATTAACATACACACACACATACATACATACATACATACATACATACATACATACATACACACACCGATTTTTTTATTCTCATAGCACTTTACTGCATTTACCAAATTAATTAGTGTAATAATGACTGAAACCACCAATTATAACGTGCGAAATATAGATTTTCGTGATTTTGTTTTGTTTTTAAGTGGCCGCCGCTTTTCAGTTTAAGAACTAACGCGTTTTTTTTTTTTTTTTAAAAGATAATTTAAGGACTATTTAAGAATAAAATAATGAACATTTGAGAACTGATGCAAAAACGCACCCAAACTAAGATCTAAAATTTCAAAAAGTTTGTGTCCCTACCTAATTTTGCTGTTGTGATTTTAACCTAAAAATGAACAAAACTCAGCAAAGGTAAGCTAATTGAGCGCTTTCTGCCTCTAAATTTGAATTTCAAAGCAAAAGGTCATTCTTGCTACCCAAAGGAGGCCGTCGGCAGTCCTGCCAGCAGATGGAAAGTGTGTCCACTTCTCACGGAGGATGAAATGGAAGATTTTTCAACGCACAGTGAAATTTGAAAGTTAATCCTAAACCAATCATCTTATAATGCGCAATCAATTATATCTTTAAAATTTTGCATTCGTGTCTTTTTCCATCCTGAGATGCTTTGAAGCGAAAAGGGGGATTGGGAGGCAGGTGGTGGGGACAAGGAGGGAAGGTGGGGGAGAGGGGAAGGGAAGCTGATTTCAAAACCGTAGTGTTAAAAACTTCAAAAAACCACTGTTCCCGAAATCCCAGCAACATAATAACTCAAATGAGCATGTAGCATAATAACTCACTCAAACATAAGCATACATACATACAAGTCAGATCAAAGCATGAAGCTTTTGGCGATAAAAAGCGAAACCCTCTATTTCATCCTTAACGAGACACAGAAACGGTACTCATCAAATGGTGGAGCAATGAGCAGTCTCTTTTGTAAGGATTGCTTAGAAACATGATAAAAGCCGAATGGGAGCTCTCCGTACATCCTAGTATCAATTAGGTGCGGAACAAAAAAACAGCAACTGCTACAGAGAACGATTTTCTCAACGGCCCTAACACTCACGAACACGACTTAAGAAACGCAAATTTGTACAGCATCAAAGTCAGAAGCATATAATCCCAGGAGCTACCCAAAAATTGAATTTTTCCAGAAAAACGGCGATCACTGTTAAAATGCCCTTAGTGGTGAAGATTTTTTGGTGGGAAATGCGGTGACGTGAAGTCACCAAGAATAATTATAGAGTTTATTCCGGCTAAATTTGTAAAAGAATTGGCAAATTATGATGATTCCTTGAATTATGCAATGTGTGAAGCAGTGTAACAGGATGATGGAGATGTGTGAAAAAAAAATTATAAAAACGAAACAAAAAGAAAAAACTAACTTTTGAATTGTTGCTCCAAATCAGGATCCAACTTTTTAGGAGACTGTTCGACAACTGCCGAACGCAGAAAGTTTGTTTCATCCTGAAATTCAAATTAAACTATACAAATATGCAGTGTAAGGGCAAATTCGGATCACAAGCATTTTTTATTTACAAAGTCAGAAGCATATAAAAACAGAGCAGCAGCACGAATCGCGAGGAAGCTGGGTACCATCACGCTTGTCAGGAAATACGTCGGAACTTGGGGCACCACCATACTTTTTAGCAACCGGTTGTTTTAATAGAAAGATAAGAACCGAAGAGGAAAGGTGAGAAATAAGAATTGCGAAATTAGTAAAATTAATTAAATTATTAGAATTAGTGAAATTATTTTAGTGTCGTCTCTTATTCATGCAAGCAAAATAGCAATGAATGTCAGGGACATTTTTTCTTTCTCCTTCCTTTCAACGAACTGTTACAGGTCCAATTACTGAATGGCTAAATGCACAGAGAAATATGTCACGAAAATTCTAAGTGAGAAAAGTATTCAAAGATGACTGGAAACCATTACAGCCTATACTACATGACAATTAACATCCCAGGGCTCTGAATCCCAGGACTAGCTTTCTTCATCCTTAATTTATAAAATTTTCCTGAATCTAGACTGAAGCTCGGGGCAATAGCAAGGGCTGAAATCTAATATTCGACTGTTTGCAACAAGTTACTGAAAAAAAAAAATCTCCTGGAATTGTCCGTTTGTTACATTCCCAAAATTTCGAGTC